TAGACTACATCAGTGGTTCTTGAGGTTTAATGTGCATGCAAATCACCTGAGCATATTGTGAAAATGAAGATTTGGAATCATCAGCTTTGCAATGGACCCCAAGATTCTATACTGCTAACCACCTCCCAGGTGGCACTGACGCTGCTGGTTCTTGGATTATAATTTGAGCTTTAAGTACCTTAAGGTCCCTTCCCACTCTACGTTTCTTACCATCTCTGTCAATGGCACACTTAGCTGCCTGCTACCTAGGCCATCATGTCTTCCCTGCCACCTTATGTGGCCCCGTACACCAATCAAAGAGATTATGCCCCATTCTCCCCCTTCCCTCCACTCACCCAAATCCATGCCAGGTCAAGCTGGGGGATCCAGACTCATGAAGTATTCCCTAACTAATTTTCTCCCTCAATGATCTTTTTCTTCTTTTTTTCCTAAGATGTACTGATGAATCTAATTAGATTATGTGCTAATAACACTGTGTCCTTTATTATTTTTTCCCCAGGAATACTTTCAAATGATCAACTCCTTTTCAGCTTTCAGTTCTCAGTGGAATGACACTCCTTGGAGAAGCCTTCCCTGAATTCCCAATCTAAATTGTTCTCTCTTGCTGCCCATGTAACCAGTCACAGCAACCTCTTTTAATTTCTTCATACCACTCACTAAGATTTGAAATTTTCTCACTTGTTTATTTGTTTTTTATCTCACACCCCCACCACTGAGAGTGACTGTGTTTGCACAGATCACCACTACTCTATCCCTAGTGCCTAGAACGATAACGATAACACAGTAGATACTCAGTAAATATTTGTTGAGTGAATGACGCAGGAATCATAGAATGCGGTACACAGAGGTGCTTAAGAAAATCCTTACTGGATGAATCAGAGCTCCGCCACCGAAGTAGCAATCCTGAAATTGCTACTTGGAATTATTAGGTTTCTGTCTTTACTTTTGAAAACTAGTTCTTTATCTGCGTGTTTCCTTTTTCCTGTGGTGTACACACAACAGCTCACATCACAATTAATTTTGAAAGCAGATCAGACATGTGAGCAATTAGCTCTCAGTAGGACAAGTTATCTCTCCATAGCACTTGTAGATGATACAAAATGATATGAACGACATTAGTGTGGACGTTTAGGATATGTTTTGGGAACACAGGGCACATTTAGCTGCGGGTCTCATCTTGGCTGTTCCACTGATGGAGCCCTCCCAGCAAAGTTTTTTCCAAGCTCAGCTTTGATCTGCTTTCAGGCCTGCCAACAAACTCTAGTTTCTCATCTCAGACCTCAATTATTTCGCAAGAATCGCACAGAATCCAGCTTTGATGATGTACATGAAAAATGGTAGAAAATTCAGGCTATTGGGGAAAACTGAATGTATAAAAATGAACCCCACTTACTAGAGACAACTATCCCTGGCAGATCTCTCACTGAGAAAGACAAATGAATGGGGCTGAAGACAGAGATGGAAACTGTCATTGCTACATGCTATTGACCTGGAACGGAGGCAGCAGAACCTGTCTGATGTGTTCTAAGGGCGGCTATTTAGATCTTGCACCATTTCTTTTTTCCACTGTTTCTGTGGTGGAGGTGTTTGGGCTTGAACTTTGATTCCTCTCAGAAATACAAGAAATGGACTTGATCTTGACCTTAACACTAGCATAAGTTTACCCTTGGTTTCAAAGCTGAAGTTCTTGAAAGTGAGTTGAGCTCTATCTCTTCAGAAATTCATTTGTGGGACCCTAGGGACTGGATGCAGGAGCAACTGCCTGTCCCTCTAGCATGGCAGTGTTCCATAGGAAAGAGCTAGAAACACAAACCATGCAACCTCTAACTGTGAGAAACCCCAGGGCTAAGCCCAGTCCGGCTTGGAAACGCTATCCTCAGGCTTTGAAGTTCTGTTGTTCCATTCAGGCTTTGCTTGTGTTTTCTTTTTCTGCTTATTCTCTTCCAAAATAAACTTAATGTTGCATTTCATGTTTTCTTCCTTATCAGGCCCTTTTTTCCTTTGCAAGTTCCATGAGAAAATTGAAAGGCTATCAGGTACACTGTGGTGGGGTTGCAAATAATATATAAGATGCCTAGTTAAATCCGAATTTTAGGTAAACAACAAATAGTTTTTAGTGGAAGTATATCCCATGCAATAGTTTTCTTTGCTAAATCTAGTGACTCTAGTTGTAGGCCTATTGGTTTATTTTGTCATGCTTTTTTGTCATTTTGATTTTTATTGGCAGAGGTATGAAAAGGGTAAAGAAAGAATGAAGAGGAGTGATTTTGTATCCTGTTTTTGACCTGGGGTTGACCGTTTCTGTCTTCTTATGTAGAGATGTCATACAAAGCCTCGAAGGTCCTTTCTACGAAATCTTCCAACTTCTGGTCTGAAGAATGTCTCTTGGTTGTGTTTTTGCAAATTTCTAATTTGACTACAGTGTGCCATGAGTTTGAAATCTGAGTTCTTGAGCACATTGAAATTAAAGGGTCCGGGTTAATTGCAAAATGAGCAAAGTTGCAACGGAGAAAGTGTTTTCATTCTCATATGGAGCAAGCTTTCTGGAGTGACACTGGACCTATGTCATGTGCGTAGGGGTAGTTCAATCACAACAGCTGATCCTGTAACCCTACTTCAGAGATAATAAGTACAGATACAGTTCCGTGTGGATCCCAGAAAATAGGAATGGAACAGGAGAGTGAGCGTATCAAGCTGGAAGATGTTAGGACCAGTAAGGTGATAGCTAAGTGTAATGAGTGCTTACTATGTGCTAAGCATTAGCGTACACTGACTACACTCTTTTAATCTTTACTACAATGCTATGAATAGGCTATCAGTGTCATTATCCCCATTACAGATGGGGAAACTGAGGCAGACAAGATTAAGTAATTTAGTTAGTGGAGGAGATAAACTGGCTCCAGAACTCACAACACTAAACTACTTATTTCTGCAGCCTGTACTGTCTGTGAGAGAAAGGTGTGTGCAGAGGCAGGAGTTGCTGAGCTGTTGGTATAAGCAGACTCCCCTTCTCTGGCACACTCCTGGAGACCAAGAAGGTCCTGTGTGTGCCCATGGCAGGCCACTGTCTTCCCCTACACAGCCCTGGGAGCACAGGCAGGTGAGTCAAGCACACCAGGCTAGGTTGGTGAAATGATCAGGGAAGTAAATGAGATGTGAATAAATTATGAGACTGAATAAATTATATAAGGATTCTTTTTAAGAAAGAGCCAATGAAAGGTTGCAGGTCAGAATTTAATCCAACTAAACTAAGCTAATCTTTATCCTCTTCTCTTTTTTTTCCCAGGGCCTTCATTACACTCCCTGCTACAAGGTCAGAAGGTTGTGCTGAGCTCCAAAATCTGGAGGCACTAGTGGATTATTACGATTAGGTAGCCATAGCCCTTCAGTCCTCAGCATGGTGAAAGTGCGGTCCCACACTCTCAGAAATCATCCAAACTGAAAGGGCCAGTGAAATTAAAAGGAAAATAACTGCAGAAGGGCCAAGAGTATCCTTGTTCCTTTAAAAGTAACTCTACATAACTTGAAAGCCCCTGGGAATGTATGTTGATTCTGTGTTTACAGAGGGGATAAAGGACTCCACTGGAAACAGATGTGATCTGTTTGATTTCCTCTGATACCATGAGCTGAAAACAAAGAAAATTACTGAACGTGATAACACTCAGGTTAAATAAAACAGTTCAAAGTTCCAAAAAGCCCAATTTGGAAGGAAGCCTTTGAGTCATAAGCCATAAATTTTGTTGCAATCATCAACATAAGAAAAAACTAGCTATGTCCCAAGGCCCTTTGTCTAGAAAAGAATTCTTTTCTTCTCCAAATCCCTCAAATGAGTTTTAAATGTGCAAATGATGGCTATAATTTACACAGAAACTTGAAACTATTAGCAGTTTAATCCACCTAAAATCCTAATGAAATTCTGCAGTATTATTCCTGTTTGTACAGCCCAGCAAACAGAGGATAGGAACTGCCACCCATAGACTCTGGCAGCTAGCTGTGCAATGAAATGAGACTGTAGGCCCAATCTTTGTACAAAATGCCAGATTATTATTGGTATTCAAGAGATCTGGAGGTTCAGAGCCAAAAAGGCTTTAGAAAACGACAACTAGATCTTATTATTTCTCCTTTGCAGTGATTTCTCTAAAAAGAAACAACCCAATGTGGGATTTAAAACTTTCCCTTCATTACGGTTTGTTTTCTAATAGCCTGAATCTGAGCAGGAATAAGCAGGGGGAAGGCGGTGGGTTCCGGACACCCTGATCATCATTCAGATTCATTATTTGCTTGAAAAGGGTGACAGAGGCCACCTTTCCAACAGGTGAATGCAGGGTTGCCTTTTAGAAAACACTTCTGCTTCGTTCCCTCCTGTCCCCCACCGTCTCTATCCCCATCTCTTAGATCACTGTTCACATTTATATCATTGAACTTGTAAATTTTTTGTCTTTATTGTTCTTTTTGAAACGTGTCTGCTCTAGATTTAAGCACAAGTGAATGCTGTGTATGTGGGGAACAATCTTGTAACAGGAGCTGTGGGCAGCAGAGCCCTCCTGTGTGGGTTTTGTGGACCCCTGAGCAGCAAAACTCAGAATATATAACACCCACCCAATTTTGTCTGGATCCAAAATTTCAGACAGCACTTGCTTCATCTGCTCTTCTGTTCCTTTCTTCCTGAATCCTGGCTGCCTCATTTCAACAGATAATTGAAATCTTTCTCACTTTCTCAATAATCTTTGGGGAAATTCCACTTTGAAATTATCTTTTCCCTGTCATTTTTACTTTACAGTTCAGAGGACAGGGATGAGCTAGGAAACAGAATCTCAATCTCTCTCTTTCTCTCTCTCTCTCTCTCTCTCTCTCTCTCTCTCTCTCTTCCCCCCCCTCTCTCTTTTTTAAATGACGTAGGGAGTTTGGACATCCTCCCTACCCCCACCTCCCCTCTTTGATTCTAACCCTGATTCCTGGAGAATTATAGTTTTCCTTTTAACGGTTGCTGATTATCGCACCGGGAGGAGCAGGAGGGGCTGCCCAAGGAAGAGCCCAGGAGCCCATTCTGATCTCCGAGGACCCCAGCTGCCGGGTCCAGGTCAGGCTGGTCACAAAGCCCGGCGGGGCTGAAGCGCGAGCACATCTGACAGCGCCTTCCACGCGTCCCGCGGTGCGCCCGGCTCGGCGGGGGCGGCTCCACTCCGCCGGGGCCCGAGTTCGTTGGGGGACAACTCACTGTGCTCGCCGAGCATCCACACTGCAAACTCCCAAGCGGGAGGGGGAAAACAACCCAGGCTGTGCTGTGCCGAGGAGTAGAGGCAACAAAAGACCGAGACACGAGGGGAGGGAGGCAGACACGGAGGGAACGCGGACTCTGGCCCCTCGCTCCCCGAGAGCGCCCCTCGGATGCTGCTGGGGAGACCCTCCAGGCCTCTCTTTGGGGCCTCTGGGGCCCGCGGCTCAGACAGGTAGTTGGAAGAAAGAAGAACAAAGCTGCCCGCGGAGGCAGGCGGCGGTCTCGGGGCGCCCCGGGGCGGGAAGAGCTGAGGCCGAGGAGGCGCCCCGCGCCCCCTGCCCCGCGGCCCCAGCGCCCCGCGTCGGCTGCCTCCGCCGCCTCCCCTCGCGCCTCCTCCTCCCAGGGAAGCGGCGCTTCCGAAGGGACGGGCGGCGGGCGGCGGGCGGCTGAGGACGCGGGGGAGCGGGGAAGGCCGGCGGCGTGGGGGGGCGCTGGGGGAGGGGGCGGGACGGGGGGCGGGGGCGCCCCCCCAAGCCACCGAGCCGGGCGGGCCCCGACCGCCACCCTGCCGCAATTTCCCTGTGTCATGGCTCCGGTCTCTTAGCAACAGCCGCCAGTCCGGCCGCCCCGAGCCGCCGCCGCGGGCTCAACTCCACCCGGCGGAGCCCGGCGCGCAGCAGCCACACAAAAGAGGCGCGAGGGCCGGCGGCGCCGCCTCGGGGACCCGCCCGGGAGCGTCGCGCGAGGGGACGCAGCGAGCGGGAGAATGAGCGGCCGAGAGGAGGGCTCCGAGGCGGGATGCGGGATGCAGAGGACCTGACACTTCTTGGAAACTCTTGGAAATGGCTCCCGCCACAGCGCCGGAGGGGGCTGCTAGTCTGGGGAGGGCGCTCGCCCCTGCGGGGCTGCTGAGCCGCGCTCGGATGCAGGGCCCGGGGGCGCTGTCCCTGCGCTCCGCCGTCGGCTCGGGCTGAAAAAGTTTCTCCATGGTTCCTTTGTGTCGCCCGAGAGCCCGTTCGCCGGCCTCGACCTCCCTCGGTCTCCCTGGGTAAGTGAGCGATGTTGTGTGCGGAGAGTGCTGCCATTTTGAGCAATTCTGCCAGTCCCCAGCCTCTGGGGGCCCCTCCCCGCCCCTCGGGTCTCCGAACCCCCGCGCCCCGGGCTAGTGTTCAGGGAGAGGCTTTTTCCTGGGCTGGCTACACGGGATGCGCTGTCCAGAAAAAGCTAGTTCCAGATTGCTCTCACTTCGCTGCTGCCTGTCTTCTTTCCAGAGGCGGACTCCCAGCTGCTGCACTCATGTGACTCCAGCCAACATCAATAAGCAGACCAAAGCCAGGGGCCAGGGGGTCGCCGCCCTGCCAGTGAGGGACGGGGGGTCGAGGACCTGGGTTGGGTGCCGAGCACAGCACAGCGCTGCCAGCCTGTGGGCTCGGAGCCTCCGAGCCTCAGAGTGGGGCTTAATCCATCATGAGCGGAGAACTTGAATGTCTCTCTTGGAAGCAGTTGTATTTTTAGACCTCCCTCCTTTGCTTCCCCCATCCTCCATTCTTTAACCACGGTAAGACCAGCTCCAGGCAGTAAACTGAGAGGGCAGCCAAGCTTGACTGCTAAGTTTGTTTTCTTGCATTAGGTATAAAGGAAAACCTCAAAGGTGGGTCTCCCGTGGCATCTGACCTTTGTCTGTATTTCGTGTCAGATGGTGACACATTAAAAGGGAGTACAGCCTTCAACAGAGCTGAAGGAATAATAAACGAGGGAGTTAATTACTAGCTATTAAACTCATTTTAAAGATGTGCGGTAAAGGACTGTTGAAATCCATTCCTTACATTCTACCGGAGCCAAAGCTGCTTTGCTGAGGAGAAATCCAAGTGAGTTTCCCCCTCCCCCAAGACATCCAGGCTCCTGGTGCACCTGATCAATGCCCAACAAAACGTGTAGCCTTTCGTCGGTGGGAGAGCCACCCTGCCAGCTGAGTCTGAGTTCGCTTCCAAAAAAATGTCCGGTCCTTAAAGCCTTCTTAACATAACCACGGATCTCCAGATTATTTAAGATGCTGGATTCCAAGGATCACTTATAACAACAGTCTCTATATTACAACCACATAATAAATGTGCCTATTTATTTGGGATGAGAGATAGACAATATATATTTTTTTCCATCTGTACTTACTGGTGCAGCTTAAAGGTTTATAGATGTATTCTCTATACTGACCCCTCTCTTATCTACCTGGTGCTTCTCTTTACTGAAACCCAACTAAGTCCCAAAGAGAGATTGATTTGCAAACATTGTAAAGAGCTGATTACCATTTGCATTCCCACTGATGGAGAAAAGATCTTGCCTATATTGATATAATGGAGGAACTCAAGGGCCAAAGCCTTTCACCCAATCACCAATTAAAAGCAAAATTCTACCTACCACACATTTTCAAGGGGGAATTTATTCTAAAACATGAATTATCTGACAAAGGATAGAATAGCAAAAGGCTTGGGAGTGATATTTAAGTCTTTCATTTCATACAATGTCCTTAATTTTAGCATCTCATAGGAGGGAAACAACTAATGGGACAGAAAATGTTTTACTCTGGAGATACAGCAAGACTATAATTTTTAGAGGTTGCCGAATAACCACCAATATGCATTTGTGAATTTACCTACCCAGGCTTTATTACAAACAACTAAATAAACTTCCTAAGAGTAATCCATTGATTGTTGCCACCCTCCCTTCCTAAAAATGACCTCATGAGAAAGGGATAAGGGGGGGGAAACAAAAAAAAAAAAAAAAAACAACAACAACAACAAAACAGCTTTGGCTTGGGGGAAATGTCATTCTACAAATCACATATTATGTAGGCTGTTTTACCTAGTTAATTGCCTCCTCATTTGAATACTGGAATTCTGTAGCATGCTCTTGGCACCTTAATAAGGGGTCAGAAAGCTATTCTGGCAGAGTGTTAGTTTTTTTAATTGTAATTTTCCCATATGAGAAAAAAGATCTTTCTCTTGGAGATTCTAGGGGACTTCTCAAATTCCCTGATGAAATCTGGCACATGATACCTTTAAGGGAGTTCCTCTGAGGGAGGAAAGAAGGCCAGAAGGAAGAGCTCAGTTACATAAGCAGTTACCTAAAACTAAATATTCCACCCCAAGAAGCTGTCCAGATGTTGCCGAGAGGCGAAAAGGCTGTGCAAGGGATCTGCTTGCACTTAGCTGTAGGAACAGGCATAGGTGGGAGACAACTTTGTGAAGGGATTTATTGTCAGAGTACTGCAATATCTCTGCTGCTTCCCCAGTGATGAACTCTCTGTTAATTATCTGAAGTAAATAAACCGCCTTCCAGCCATTATATGACCTTTAATTTTCATCCAGTGAAATAAATTCCTTTGTCTTTATACAGTAGTAACTTTCCTGACTGTTTTAGTGACTTTGGGCCACACATTGACAGATTCCCCAGCTTAGAGAGACTGGAAACTCCTGTGGTAGTTCCCTTGAAAAATCTTCCAATTCCAGAAGGATTAAGGGAAAGAATCTTGCCAGGAAAGTCCTTAACCACTACTTTGCTTTTGTCCCTACATTTAGGTTTTACTAATGGTTGGAACTCCACTGTTCATTTCAAACCCTCATATTACCCATGGAGTGTGTGGGGAAGATGGGTGGGGAGCGGGGAGAAGGAGGCATACTTTCAGATGGTTTTATCACCACATACTAGTTACTGCAATGTTTTATAACCACCTATTAGTTGCTGCAACTAACAGGTCCCTTCCCTAATGTCTACCTGGCCCCAGCCTCTGTACACGGCCTTCGTTTCAGTTAGTGGATAAAGGCCCTGGGGTTGGGGGCACACAGGGAGTGGGATCTGGGAGTAGGGCAGCTGCAGCGTGAGATGCCACTGCAGCCAAGCTGACAACCTCTGACTGTCTTCCTCTGCTTTGCAGCAGGAGGAGGTGGCTGAGCAGCTAGTGGGCAGTTGGCGCCCTCCCTGAGCAAGCCTCCATCCCAGAGGCTAGTCCTGCAATCCACGAGTTCGCCATGATCGCCACCGGCGGCCTGCTGAGGATTTCCGCCAGAAAGCAGGATCCACTCCGCCCCCCAAGTCAGATCCCCAAGCGCAAACGGAAAGCCAAAAAGAGGCGCAAGAACGATGTGGTGGTGGTGAAAGGCAAGCTGAAGCTGTGCTCCATCTCGGGGCTCATCGCCCTCTGCGGGATCCTGGTGCTGCTGGTGGGCATAGCCATGGCGGTGGTGGGCTACTGGCCCAAGGCCACGGGGGCCAATCGGGAGGGGGGTAAGCAGCTGCCGCCTGCGGGCAGCAGCCACCGCGTCCCGACCACCGCCAACAGCAGCGGCAGTGGCAGCAAAAACCGGTCCAGGAGCCACCCTAGGGCTCCAGGGGGTGTCAACTCCAGTTCCGCGGGCGCGCCCAGGAGCACGCCTCCTTCGCGAGTCGCCTCCCCTTCCTCCTCCTCCACGTCGGTGGGCTTCTTCTTCCGCATCTTCTCTGGCTACCTGCACTCTGACAAGCTCAAGGTCTTCGGGCCCCTCATCATGGGCATCGGCATCTTCCTCTTCATCTGCGCGAACGCGGTCCTCCACGAGAACCGGGACAAGAAGACCAAAATCATCAACTTGCGGGACCTCTACTCCACAGTCATCGACGTGCACAGCCTCCGCGCCAAAGACCTAGCGGCCGCCGCGGCCGCCGCCGCGGCCGCAGCCGCCTCCTCGTCGTCGTCGGCCCCCCCCGCGGCGCCCCCCGGGGCCATCCCGCTCAACGGCTTCCTCAGCTACGTGCAGTCGCGGGGCCTGGAACTGAAGCCGGGGAGCTGCGGTGGCGCCGGAGACGCCTTCGGAGCCGCGGCGATGCTGGCCAAGGGCTCGTGGCCGCCTCACCCCGCGGCCCTGAGCGGCGGCCGCCCCCGGGGCGCCGCGTCCCCGCCGGACCTGGCCTCTTCCCCGCGCTGTCCGCGGGAGCCCGCGAGCCTGGCCGAGGCCGTGTACAGCGTCTACCGCGAGCGCTCGGGCGTGGCCGGCCGTCGCCGGGCCGCCGCTGCCACCGCCGCCGCCGCCGCTAGCAGCTGCAGCACTCCGGCGCCCTGCAGCCCACCCGAGAGCTGGGGGCGCCAGAGCACCGCCAGCTCCCTCGTGGACTCCTCGCTGAGCGCCTTCGCGCTGCTGCCCTTGCAAGGGGACCGCGATAGGGACGGGGACGCGGAGGGCGCGAGCTGCAGCTGGCAGAGGCCTCCGGGGGAACGCGGCTCCCTGGAGATCCCGAGGGGCGAGGTCAACCTGAGCATGACCAACCTCCGAGGAGCAGAGGGCAGCATGCGCGGGGCGAGCCAGGAGCTAGAGGAGCCCGAGGGCGCGGTAGCGCCGCGCGCCGCCAGGGGGCAGGGCGGCCGCCTGCCCAGGACCGGCAGGTACGCGGCCTTGCGGCGCCGCAGCACCAGCGGGCTCCCGGACTACCGGGTGCCGCCGTCCCCCGAGCCCCCGCCCTCCCCGGGGAGTGCGGACCCGGACTCCAGACCTCTGGCCAAAGCCGCCTCCCCCTCGCCACCCCTGCGGCTGGAGGGCTCGCCCCCCACCAGGCGGGAC